GGTGGGGGTTGGGGTGGGGGTGGGGGTGGGGGTAGGGGCTGTTTTATTTTGAAACAGTCTATGAAGGTCTGGCTAGTCTTGAACTGAGAGAGCACCTGGCCTCCCGAGAGCTGGAATAAAAAGTACACGTCTAGCCCTTGGACTTGCACAGCTGGTTGCCAGACCCTGTACTTTTCACACACAGTCAGCGGTGGCATCTTACAGAGCCTGAACCGAACTTCACTGAGCTAAGCTACTTAATGTATTAAAAAGTTGATCCAGAAAATGGCACATTTCCAGGAGCAGGTTTATTTCAAAACTGTAGATACATATATTACTTTGTATTACATGTTGTAAGTAATTTTAAGCTTAAAGTATATATAAAGTTTCACATTTTTAAAGTTAAAAATCTTTTAAAAATAGTAGACCATTTAAAAAGCCAAATGAGCTGGATATATCTTACAACACAGGTTTACACCTTAAATATTCACATGTCAGAAGCTGTAAAGATTAAAAACTGAGTAGAAATTATTTACAAGTGGCGATGATTCTGGTCTCCTTATCTCAGGGAACGGAGGGCTAAGCAAGTGCAAATCACTGGTACATGGCCTCGTTTGAGGCCGCCACTGTCTCTGGAGTGATCGCTGTACAGCACAACATATCTACGCCATCCCAAGCACCTCTCCTGAGCAGACGAAACTTTCAGCTGAAGAGCGATGAGCAGCACTTGAGCACTGCATCTCTGAGCAGAAGAGAAAATGCAGTCAATGGGCACAATCCTGAGGAACCAAAGCTTTGCTGGGAATCACTTAAAACATTCATGAGTGCTTTCAAAGCATTCTGGCTAATTTCCGAAAAAATATCACAGGAACTTTTTTACTAATATGTCAGCCTAGATGTGTCCAAAGTAGTTATGAATGAAGAAAATATGGTGTATGTGCACAGTGTTTATTTTTTTTTTAATTTTATTTATTTATTATGTATACAACATTCTGCTTCCATGTATATCTGCACACCAGAAGAGGGCACCAGATCTCATAATGGATGGTTGTGAGCCACCATGTGGTTGCTGGGAACCGAACTCAGGACCTCTGGTAGAGCAGTTAGTGCTCTTAACCTCTGAGCCATCTCTCCAGCCCCAGTGTTTATTTTTTTAAGATCTTATTTTTCTGTGTGCTTTATTTATGTGAGTGTCTGCCTTGAGTGTAGGGTCGTTGCAGAACCCAGAAAAAGCAAACATAAGCCTGGCTGTGTAGCTACAAGCAGTTATGATGGTTTGGTCCTCCAGGGAAGCAGCAAACACACCTGAGCCATCTCTCCAGCCCCCACAGTGGAGTTTTATTCAGCCACAGGGAAGAACAGAAGTACCCTGTGGCTTGTTGGAAAACAGGCTGACCTGGAGATGATCACTGTCCTACTCAGCTTAACTGACAGACTATCACACTCCAGAATCACCAAGGAACGCTCAGGTGAGGGGCTGCTCTGGTCAGACTTGCCTGTGGGCAAGTCTGTGGGGGGATTGCTTTGATTTTTTAATTGACAGAGGGAGGCTCAGCCCACTGTGGATGGTGCCAGTCCCTGAGAAGTGTGCCTGAGCCTTACGAGACACTGGTAAGCACAAGTCCCTGAATAAGCCAGCAATCAGTGATCCTCCATGGATCTTGCTTGAGTTCCTGCCCAGCTCAGTGAATCATCTCTGCTCTTGTCCCAGAGCCTCCTTCCTGCAGTTCACACTGCTTTGCCTTTTCTCCTTTTGTGTGTCAAAAATATTCATAATGAGAAATAGAATAAAACTTCTTCCATTGTTCATACTAGGTATATAAATCTGCTGGTTTTTAAATATGTAAATTATCTTAAAATTCCAGAGTCAAAGCCCTACCTCACCAGAATCATTTTTTCCCCAAATCAGTTTTTTTTTTTTGTTTTTAAGATTTATTTATTATGTATACAGTGTTTAAAGTCAAAGTTAACTAAAAACCTCCTACATATTTTGCTGTTGTGACAGGGTCTCACCTTGTAGCCCTCACTGGCCTGGTGCTCACTATATAAACCAGATGGGCCTTGAACTCACAAAGTGGGATTATAAGTATGAGCCACCACGTCCAGCCATAAATATTTTAATGTGAAAATGTATTTAAACTCATGTCCAGAAGGAGTAAGATGAAATTCAGAGGCGCTCACCTTGCATATGGGATGTAGGACAGACTGTACCTGCAAGAGAGAGTTAAGGATGTTGACACTTCTACACACAGCCCCCCTATTCTCACTGGCCACCTCAGCAGCAGAATACAGGACAGTGGTTTTCAAACTGTGACTGCAGTCTCAGGCAACAACATGGACCAGGAGCGTGTGGGCTCTGATTTGCTGTGCAGGGGATGGGCCCCAGGTCCTGAACCACTGAGCTCCACCCCAACTGATAATGTTTTAGTAATTTGCAGAGATGTTGAGGCTGAGGCTTTCTGTTGAAGTCACCCTCTTATCCTTCCAGCAGAAGCTAACGTCACTAAGAACTGGTGACAACTTCCTGGTGAAAAACCAACCATTTACACAAAGGCCAAATCTTAAGAGGGCAGCCTGTGTGGTTTAGCTTAGATTCTTCACGTTATATGGTGAGTCTGAGATACACCATGATAGCTCTCAGTGGAAATATTCAAAAGTCAAAAGAGTCAAAAGAAGAGCTGAGCCCAGCTGGTGACAGAAAATGGGAGACTCAAAACAAAAAAACTGGGAAAGGGATGAGACTAGTAGGAGGCAGGCAAGGGAAGTATGGTCTGTCTTCTGACAGGAAGTGAGGTGAGGAGTGGCTTTCCAGACAGGTGGGCAGAGGCAGTCAGACACCAGGCTGGAAAGAGGATGTCTGGCTGTAAGAAGTCATACAGTAGCAGAGAGCAGAATGCCTGGGGCACTTGACAACCCTGGGCTCACACTGTCGTATTCCTCTTGTTGGAATTCAAGTGGTTTTGCCTTTATTTCTAATCAGCTCTCTTCCTACAGTAGCCTACCCCAAAGCTATTGAACCCTACCACCTATACAAGTACCAGAGAAGCACGCTGTCCAGAATGGGCCTCACCCCACCTGCCTTTATAGAGCCTGGCTCTCAGGCATGGGCCTTTGGTTCCCTTTTCTAGGGCTCATCAGGACCCAAAAGATGCTACTAATGTCCCAGACTATTTTCATTCTATAACTGGTATAAGGAGACTTACCAGGTCATCGACAGGAACTGCAATATGCAGAAGAGTAAGGCCAGCCCCTTCTTCCGCCACTAGCAACAAACAACACAGGATTTTAAACACTATCATTATAATCAGGTTCAAGTCTCCCCTTTAAAACAGATAGCCATATTTATTAAATTTATTCCTATATATTTAAGAACCTTAAACATCATCTATGAAAGTACATCTCCTTTCCAATGCCATCTCTATTATCTTAAATACTATGAAACACACACAGTGAGTGACTAGAAATAGGAGCTCCCCAAGGTCACAACTATAAACTGATATAACCTGTGCTAGAATAAACACTTAAAACCCATAGAAAACTCAATTATGACCCCTGCTCCTTCTCAAGATTTTTTGGTTTTTGGAGATGTTTTTGCTACACAGCCCAGGCTGGCCTTGAAACTTTAGCAATCCTCCTGCGTCAACCTCCCACGTACTGGGACTCTAGGCATGCACTACCATGTCTGGCTTTTTGAGGTATTTTAAAGGACAATTACAACACTAAGTTTTCTAGGATAATATAAAGTTCCTACAATGCTGTGAGACAACTGACTTGAGAATTCCTAGTCTCTCTGGGTAAGAGGATCAAATCCAGGGCCTGCCTCCAGGTGGGCACGTGCTCTACCACTGAGCTACATGCCCATCCCCTGCCCTTTAAAGGCGCGCTGTGGGTGGGTGGCTGGGGAGGCAGCAAGAGGAATCAGTGGGTAAAGGCAATTGTTTGGAAAGAGAGAACTGACTTCCATCTCTGCATTGTGCACACCCAGACACTTACACACATTATGGAATCCTTAGCTGGCCTCAAACTCAAACTCAAGGTATCTGTCTGCCTCTGCCTCCCAGGTGTGACTAAAGACACCACCACACCTGGCCCTGATGGAGATTCTTTTGTGTCTGGTCTGACCTATAGAACTGCTGCTTCACCCCGAGGCGCACACAGTCTGCAGCAGGCAAAGCAGAGGTGACAGGCTTGCTGAGGCCCTTCCCAGTCTAGGCTGGGGTCAGAGAATGAGTGTTCTCACATGGACCTACAGGTAACAACCACCTCTGCGTAGGCTGTAGACAGCAAATTCAACTCTCATCTAGCTAGCCTTGTTTCAGGGACACCAGATTCTGAGAGAGTCTAAGATGATGGTGGAGGGAGGACTTGTTAGCAGAGAGCCAGCATGGCTGACAAGACTTACCCACAGAGCAGCACACAGGGTAAACACGAAGCACAACTATAGGGAAGGAAAGAGGTAATGAGAAACCGAAGATTCTTCAGGAAAAACAAAAATGCACAAACTCTTCTACATTCATTTACCCAGGTAGCACATACAGACTAAATGAGACAGTGGATTCTGTTGTCACCTTACAGCCTGCCATAGCAGTGTCCCCCACTCTGGCAAACGGAAGCACTCCATAACGTGCTGGCTAAATAAAGGGACAGACTATGGAGACTGAAGTTTAGAGGAAAGAGGCCGTTCCTATGGCTCTCATGTGGATGTCTACAGTGGTGTCAACAGAGTGCCTGGCAGTGCCAACCACTTCGGCATGTTCCACACGCTCACTTGACAGTGATGGGTGTGCTTCCTTCACACCAGAGACTGTACACGCACCTGCACAGCCATGTCACCTGGACAGGCCAGGGAGAAGAGAAGTGGGAATCAGCTGAGGCCAGGGGGCCTGCTCAGGGGGCCTATGTAGGGCTCAGCTTTCCTCTATCAAGAGAGAGGGCATCTGCCCACTGCTTCAAGGGCTGCTGCTGCAGGGGCAGCGGGCTGTCTTCACAATTACTGTGAGGCAGAATCTGTTCATGCAGCAATTCAGCTCTGGTTCGACATTCTCCTGGAAACAGCGTGACTAATGCACTGCCAGGGTGAGCCATGTACACAGCCAGGTCTCTGAGGAGAAGCTTTATGCTCCCAGCATTCTAAGAGTTATCAACTGAACCCGTGTAAGCCTAAGTGCAAAGAATTCACCAATAAAGCAAACTTAAGCACAGGAAGAGAGAAACACAGGTGATTTCCTATAAAGTAGACAGAGTTAAATGTAAACACAGGTGCCGATAGAGGTGCATCTAAGAAACTCAATCATGAATGCTGTGACAATGGAAATAAAACTGAAACTGAATAAAGACATAAAAAACAAAATTAGCCAAACTGAGTTCGAGCTGACAGAATGACAAACTACAGTTAAATATTCTGTATCTAGAAACTAACAGAGGTTGCTTGAGTTTGAAAAGCTACTATTAAAGGGGGGGGGGAGAGGCTAATGCTGGAACTTAATTTCTTTAAGCATCACAAATGCTGTGAGAACCCAACACCAGGAACAAGTGGACTGGGAAGGAAAAATGGGAGGAGGGATGGGAGCCTGGGTTCCCCAACCCAAGACTCTCACCATGAGTGACTAGTGTGAGCCTTCTGCCCTCCCCTAAACTCAAGCTGAAGTGAGCACCAAGAGCACTGAACAACAACCATGTGAGACACTACACCACTACAACCGTCAAGTCAGCCAACAGGAAGAAGCAGACAGCAGGCAATTATAGTTCCCATTCTTCCCGAGGAGACCCCAATGGATTCTGAAGTATCTCCCCTTCTCTTTTTACCGTCTGAAGAACAAACAGAGGGGCTTAAACATGAAAATACAATCAGCTCTGATTTTCATAACTACTCCCAGCTATATAACACACACACAACAGGAAGCAGGCACCACCCAGCCAATCATATTATTAGACAACACTGTATAAGTCAAACTCTAATCACACAGCCCTGAGAATACTACTTTAACACACACATACACACATTCACAGCAATGATGCAGAAAAGACTTCATAAGTTTATGAAATTAACATTATTTACTTACAAGCATAATAACTGTGGCAAGCAATCTTGTTGTTTCAAACATTTTCTTCAGTTGCTTCACAGGTCCCATTAAAAAGCAAGTACTATTCGAGACAAATAAGAGATGGCTCTAGTCTAGCTATGCAAACATAAAATCACTATAAAATAAACTGTGAGTTGTGTTATTTCTTCTGTGCTTTTCTGTGAGTTTGTTGTCTTTGTTGCTGTTTGGGACAAGGCCTAGGCTGGCTCACACTCATGCCTCAGTCTCCTATGTTGAGGACTTTCCCTCCTAACTTAATTTTTGTTACTACTTGAAGACAGAGTCTTTCTATATATATAGCCCAAGTTGGCCATAAACTCACAATTCTCCTTCCTTAGCCTCCCTAGTGCTGGGTACTTATTTTCATTTTTTGTTGTCATTTTGAGACAAGGTCTAGCTACACAGGCCAGGATGGCTACACTTTGTGATAGTTCTGCTTCCTCCTCCAGAGATGGGTGTTACATGCTTGTCCACCAGGTATAGTTTTTTCCCCCTCAACTTTGAAAGGACACTTTTCAAGGGGTCAAAGGACCCCTCAACTTTTGAAAGTGAAGAAGCCACAGACTGTCTCCCATTCCCACATGAATGGAAACAAGGCCCTGAGGTGACCCTTCAAACACAAGAGTGCATGCAACCCCTCAGGGATACAGGGCACAGCCCTCAGAAGACAACTGAGGCCCTGATCTTGGATTTCCCAGCGTGTAGAATGTGAAAAACACACCCGTTCTTAAGACCTGTGGTATTGTTAAAGCAGCACAAATGGACTGGACTAAGACTTTCTACTCACTCCCACACAGCAACTTAATTTTTTCTGGTCTCAGAAAAACCAGAGCCCACCCCCGCAGTTCCTAGTTCCTGCTGCCCGCCACCTTCAGTTCTCTGCACAGCACCAACAGCTTCCCATGTGAGTGCTTCCCCACAAACCCTTCTCTCCACAAGAACCAAGACTTGAGGGTAGCTCTGGAGAACACCCCAGGCTGGGAACTAGTGTCAATGTATGAGGGTCACCCTCAATGCTCCCCAAATGCACAACCGGCCACTTGGTATCCCTGGTACTCAGTTATACCATAGCAGTATTACAGAATGAACATAAACTTTGCTGCGGAATTGACATTTATAAACAATAAACAGCCATGCGGTGGTGGGGGATGCCTTTAATCCCAGCACTCGAGAGGCAGAGGCAGCTGGATCTCTGTGAGTTCAAGGCCAATCTATACTACATCCAGGACAGCTAAGGCTACACAGAGAAACCCTGTTTTGGGGGCGGGGGTGGGGAAATCAACAGAAACATGCTACTTACAAAGGACTTATTAGAAAGGAAATATGGTACCAACTACAAACAAGGCATTTTGAGAAGCCAAAGTATACACACACCTGGCCAGTGCCGCAAGGTTTCCAAGGGTGTAAAATACTGCAAAAAGTTTTATGCCATTGGGAAGCCACAGCAAACCAGTTCCCTAAAGTAGAAATTATAGTTAGTTAAAAACAATGTGATCTTAACAGCCTAAAATTTGAAAGTGCTTCTACAGCGGTTAATACCAAGTACTATGCAATACACGATTAAACAAAGTGAGGTTATACGGTCTCTTGAATCAGTGTTTATAGATGGGCCGTAGCAGAACTGTTTCTACACTTGTCAGACAAAGTATTCATCCGAATGCCAAGTTAAAACAGGCTTAAATAAAACACAGCTAAATTATTGACTGTCCAGTTTTCAACACAAACTGGTGTCCTAAATACAATTTAACATTTTCCTCCAATCACTGTAACATTAATTTCTATACATTTTTAATCAATCCCTACATATTTATTTAAGGTCACTGCGTCTTATCAAAATAATGTGAGACATTTAGATAAAGCAGGCTACTTTTGTTGGTTCTAAATGAAATTATTCACTTAGCAAAATGTAAGACTATTAAGCAACACAAAGCCTTAACTCACAAGGATTGAACAGAAAACACCAGCAACAAAGCATATGATGAACCACTTCAATCTGGTGTTGAAACTAAGGGATGAGGCGTCCAGGACCTTAAGAAAGAGGAGACAATGGAGAACATTAGGTCGGCAGGCGTGACTGACTCTATACTATATACACTAAGCAAGCCTTTTTGTTTCTGTGCTTGAGACAGGGTCTCTGTGTAGCCCTGGCTGTCCTGCAAGTCTCTATGAAGACTACACTGGCCTCGAACTCACAGAGATCTGCCTGCCTCTGCCTCCCAGGTGCTGAGATTGAAGGTGTGTGCCACCATTCATTTTGAGCATGGACCTGACTCTTTTACTCTATGTAATGCAGTCACCTGTGTGAGTCTAAGGTACAACACACATCCTATGATGCTGAAAAACAACCTGTAGGTATAATCGCAGAGTCCTTCCCTGTGTGGGTACAGCACATGCATGCTCATCTTGGCAGAACAACACAGTGCATAAGATGCATCTTTAATCTGGGATAAAGCCAGCCACGCAGCATGTTGGAAACTGCTGAAGCTGGGCTTGGTGCATACGTTCATCCTGTGCTTCTCAACCTCTGTCAGTCCTGGGGAGTGAGATGGGGATGCTCTCAGTAGTAATCTTTAAGAAATGGGGGAAGCTATTGAGGAAAATGGAAGACACCCAGCAAGAGTGTGTTCACCCAGAGCTGCACTACAATGGATGTCTGGACTAAGGAGGGGGGCTGGCTTTTGGGCCTTTGCCTTAGGTGATACCTGACTATAGGCTAGAAGTACAGTAGGGGTGACTGTGCAGAACCTGCACAGAAACAGCAATGAGTGCTGGGCTGGAGACATGAGAAGGGATCTTGGACTGGCAGCTACAGGGACCCACAATATACACAGAGTTGGCAATCTCCATTACAAACAATTCATTTAAAGTCAAATTTCTGAAAAACACTGCATAGCTTCTGAACTTTGCAGGCAAAATTTTTGAATAAAATTTAATTATAGATCAACACTTCTATATGCCATGCAAATTCTGTCCAATTTTTAAAAGATTTATTTATTTGATGTGAGTGTTCTATCTGCATGTACAATGTTATGCCAGAAGAGGGCATCAGACAGAAGAGGGCAACAGATTCCACTATAGATAGCTGTGAGTCACCATGTGGGTGCTGGGGATTGAACCCAGGACCTCTGGAAGAGCAGCTCTAGAAGAGCAGCTCTAGAAGAGCAGCTCTGGAAGAGCAGCTGTGTTCTCAACCATGGAGCCATCTCTACAGCCTCTCAACCCAGATTTTGGAGGAAGTAGAAAACCTGTATATTCTTTGTACAACATGACAATCTAGCAGGTAATCATGATTAAATAAATACTTCGAAATTGCCCGGTACTATGAAAACTTACCTTCCCAATGAGCTGTGAAACTGTCAGTAGGTATTTAAAGAAACTAGAAATGTTGCCAGGCATGGCAGTGCATATCTATAGCCCTAGTACTTGGGAAGCAGACACAGGAAGCCCAAAGATAGAAACTAGAAATGTACAAGAATCTCTGTTTCAAAGTTTAAATTCTATACGGCATTACCACATACACTTAAGAAAAGACCACCAGCTCAGGGTGTTTTAATTTGTGTGTACCATCTTACAACCCCTTGGTTACTACTTACCTCAGCAGATCATCCGAGACGACTTATGCAGCATGAAAAGCAGATAAGACAGTAAGACTTCTGTCAGTACAACACACGTACTTAACACTCTTAAAGTGTCTCTGCAATGCCCTTTAGCTCGACATTCTTAGTTTGGCAATGCCACTGTTTACAGCCTAACTGGATGTAGGGATGTAGAGTGAACAGCCTATAGACACCCAAAGCCTGTTCTAACCAGGGATTTACACACTACTTATATTAACTTCAGAATGAAAACCCCAAATATGTCCCAGCACTCGGGAGGCAGAGGTAGGCGAATCTCTGTGAGTTCGAGTCCAGCCTGGTCGACAGAGTGAGTTCCAGGACAGCCTCTCAATACAGAGAAACCCTGTCTCCAAAAAACCAAAACAATCAATCAATCACACAAACAAACAAAAAACCCAAATGTCACATCACTTAAATGACCTAAAAGTCCATTCTTCAGACTCTGCTGTCATACACACCAAAACAACATGCTCTGTCATACATGCATCCAATTTTCACTATCAGTTACACATTGTAACAGTCACTAGTCATGACTTCTAAAAGTTGGTGTGATCTGGCAATAATATTAAAATTTATGGAGAAAAGAAAAATACACTCCTCGTTTTTTACTTTCTCTAAGAGCTTATGTCATGTCCTTGTTTCTAAGCTATAATAATATCCTTTTCAAGGGCCCATTTAGCTTTCCCCCATCAACAAGCACATGTAATTATTTGTACAATAGTAGGTTTCCCTCTCTTACTACAATTTCCATGTGATGACCAGGTTATAAACATGGAGTCCACAAGCCAACATTGTGTGGCAGGTACAGAAACCTCACGAAGAACATGACATTAATTTGCAGGGAGCCTCTCCCCCAACCATCCCTCTCTGCCGCACCCGTGTCCATGAACTTGTTTAGAGCCAAGAGGAGCAACCCATCAAATGTCACCTCTTTTGTCTCAGACAACATTCACACATCACAATGACCACCAACTGTCACCAGAAGAAGGAACAAAAACAAAACAAAACAAAACAAAAAAACCTTCCTGTAAAGCAAGAGCCTCTCTTTCTATTCTCGAGGACTTCTTGCCATCACACTCAACTCATGTGACCAGGTAGCCTGAGGAAGGAATCAGGACTGAAAGATGAACCATGGATGCTGATTCCTCAGTGGTACGGGCCCTGAGAACCAACATACCCACCACACAATTGAAGCCACCTCTGTACCTGGACCAGATGAATAGGCTCAGGCTCAGGGCCACACCACCTGCACTGCTAGGAAGAGCTGCAGAGGACAGAGGACAATCCAGTCCTCGGAAGCATGTGTGCCGGAGCTTTTAATTAGCAAGAGCTCTAATTTCTGTATTCTCCATCCTCTCCCCAGATAACTGGCATATAAAAAAGCAACAATCAGCAGAGGCTGGAGGCCCTGCTCTTCTCCTCAGGGCCATTCTGGGCAGTGCACCTGCTACTGCACCCTTTCCCCTGGGGCAGTGGGGCAAGGGGCCTCTCTGACCCATACGTCTGTTGCCTAGACCCTGACCAGCTTTTCTGTCCTCTTCAGGACTCCTGGCCACAGGGCCAACCCCTGCCCACATGGTAGGTCTTGTGAAATCGCCATATTCAATGTGGACAGCCAATCCTTTCTGTCCTTACCCCATCTCCAGTGGTTTTTCTCTCATTCCACCCACTGACCAGAGCTCCTTGCAATCATTCCATCTCTGAAATCCTTGCTCAAAATCCCTAATCTTGGGGCTGGAGAGATGGCTCAGCAGCTAAGACCACTCTCAGATGCTCTTGCACTGGACCTGGGTTCAACTCCCAGCACCCAAATGATGGTCTCCATTCCTAGCTCCAGTTCCAGGGTATCTGATGCCCTTTTCTGGCCTCAGTGGTCATCTGGGATGCAGATGGTACGTATCATACATCCATGTAGGAAAACACTCATACTCACAAAAATAAAATAAAGCAATCTTAAAAACAACAACAAAAGGTGTCCTTGTAGCGACTACCTTGCTGCCTCACACCTTCTCCTCATTCATGGCAACTGTGTTTGCATACTGCTTCAAGACAACATCCAAAGTTCTCTTCCTGCTGCCTCCACTTTGGGACTTGTATTCTGCATCAAGCCTGTTTCCCTGGGCTCTCTTCTCCCGCCACCCCATCTCAACCTGCTTTCTTACAATTACAGTTAACCACCTCAAGCCATCTACCATACCTTCCACATCATGCCACACTAAAACCACATTGTCTCTTCCCTCTCAAGTAGTCTCTGTGAGGTACTGTGGTGACAAGAAAGTGACTAATACAGTATCTTATCACTCACAGTAAAGAGACCTTCTCCACAGCCTAGGAGACAATGGGCTCCACAATTCCACTTCCTGCCTGTCGGCCTTTGTCGTCTATACCCGTCCCTCTTTCCCTCTGTCCCAGTCACCATGGTTTCCTTACTGGCCTAGCACACACAGGGCCACTGTTCCTCTCCTGGTGGGACGCTTTCCATGGCAGACCACCCTAACAGGGAGGCTGACTACCCTATGCAGTAGGGACCCTAAGCTTCTCTGCCCACTTCACCTTTTCCACAGGACTGTCCACCTAACACCACTGTATTCACATTATGAAGGTGACACAAAAACGTTTGTTTTCCACCAGGCTCTGCAGCAGCACAGATCTGTCCTTCACACTGATATTACAAGGGAAATAACAGGAGGTTCATCTCAGTACCCAGAGAGGGGTATGGGAAAGTTGTCAGCCCTTACTGGTCTCACAGAAAGATATGTGGGCACATTTCTGGAAGCAAACGTCAAGTTGCTGATGAGCCCTGAGCCCTGGGCTCGTGGAGAGTGTGAAGGGACTTTCTTAGAGCAGAAGAAGCCTAAGAGCACAGGGAGGGAAGCAGGCCTACAGGGAATCTGAGAGCCCTGCGAGAGAGAGACAGCCACACACACAATTCCCAGGCAACTTCAGAAACAGTGTGTATGTATTAAGCTTTACAGGGCAGGGCTGATTCTTATTTTGCAGCCAAAGAAATCTTGCCTGAGGCCAATCCAACAGCCACCTTGGGTCCAGGCCAGTATGGATTTCCTCTGCTCCCCACAGATGGTCCCTCAGGCTTCAGCCTGGGTCTGCTCAAATTGAAGTTTCCTCCATCTCAGACTTCTGGGCCTCTGGGTTTTCTCTTCCACTATGCTATTTGTTGATGTTCAGCAAAGAATCAGAAATAGGTATCCATTTCCCCAGAGAAGAGGAGTTCCATTTTTTTTTGGGGGGGGGACTAAATTAGTGAGTTTTAATATGCAAGTCTTAAATAACCAAAGAACAGCAACTGCAAGAGTTGTGTTAATGCCAACACAGGAGACATTTGTACTGAATGCTTGTTTGCTAACCGCTCCCTCGTTTGAGATATAAATCTTGTGCATCTAATGGTCACTGTTAGTCACCGACAGTGCCAACTATATGGGAACTTGAGGACCTGCTGGAGTGAATAACCACTTCAAACTTACAGCCTATCAACTGCAGTCCCTTTGCTCTTTGATCAATTTCTTCTCCACACACTTTTTTCACCTCCAGACACAGCTTCAAGACACAAGATCACTTCCTTGTGCCCACAATTTAGCATTGTCCGACACCATTCCTGCAGTGGAAACAGTTCTTAAATGCAGTTAATCTGCTTCAATTTAAAAGGCTACACGTGGTTATAGCTACATCACAGATTCAGAGCAAAGAGTGAAGCACCGAAACTTGGACAAGGGATATACACCCCCACTTCTGCTGTTACTATGTATAGGCTTTTGTACTTCAATTACAATACAATACTCCAGTTCTCAGGAGGCAGAGGCTGAGGCGGAGGCAGGCGGACCTCTGTAGTTCCAGGCTTGTCACGACTACACAGCGAGACCTTGTCTCAAAAAAAGCAGAACACGATATAGACTTCGGCTCGTCTTAACACAGACCAGTTCGCAGTCCTGCCAACAAGGCAGGAAGTCGGAAACGAAAACGGAACAAACACAAGATCTTTATGTAATACAATTCAAGATCAAGTGCTCAATGCCTGAGCCAGGGCACACCAAAATGTGTTAGCATGCGAAACACAGCAGTTCCTGTTTTTGCTTATTTTAAAACTCTTACAGGGGAAGTAGGCCTTTATCCACCCTCACGCCTGGGTCGCATGCAAACACAAGGGTTTTGCTAATAATAATTTAAAAAAAAACACATGCACTGCTAATGCGAGCTGTCTTCACAGGCAACATTTAGCACGGAGTAGCTTCACGTCCGTGCTCGCCTCCCCAGCCTCTACTCCATGGCCCGACCGTGATCTCATTCACCAAAACTTCAGAGACCAAACAGGGCGAAGCTGAGACCTGGAACCCCTGGGTTGGCAACAGGAGGTCGGGCTCCCGGCGGCCTGTATCTCGGAACCAGCTGCAGGGACAGCGACCCACGGTTGCGGGAGGGGCGGGACCGGAGGAAGGCCCCCGAGAAGCAGGTGGGAGCCGGCGGACAGCCCAGGGATCTGGGGGACGGCCCTCCGCCCTTCTCCCTCCCGCGGCCAGGGACTCACCTGCGCCGTCAGGCCTTGCTCCTCGTCGTCCTGGCCGCTCAGGACGCGCCGCAGCTTCTCCATAGCCCCGTCCCGGCCCCGCCGCCGGCCAGCAGCTCGCTCACCCCGCACGCCCACCCGGAAGCGAAGAACCCGCACTTTCACGCTCTAGCCAGCCGGAAATCCGGGCTTCCGCTTCCTTCGAGCATGCGCACCTCCTCGCCCTTGAGCTGCTGGGGGCTGGGGGCGAGGGCGTTTGTGAGGACCTGAGCGCGTCACTTCCGGCGCGTCCACCGGGACTCGCACACGGGGCTGGTGTTGGCTCGCACAAGTCGGTTCCTGCCCGATCGATCGGTCCCAGGAGGGACTGACAGTTAGGGCTGTCTGTTCAGCGTGGTGCAGAGAAACATGTAGTGTCCAGTTGCATGCCTCGCCTGCCCCGATTGCTTCGGTTTATAAGATGTGGTAATGGAACGCCCTTTGTTTTCTTTAGGTACTCCACAAACAGCTTCCTCCCCAAAATCGGAGGGGGGGGGAGGGTTAATTGTCTGTGGTACCGCCTTTCGAAACACAGTCGTTACGGGAACTCCAGGAAATGAGACCGTGTACTGATAAAACTGCTCCAGCATGTTTTAGGGGATCGGACCTATACGAAACCCAGCCTTTTGCTCTTTGAAAGGTCATACAAATGATAACGGATATACAACAAAATCATCCTTGAATTTGTCTATATGTTTTCCTTCAGCAGCACAGCAACGCTTCTATATTAAAAAGTGATACTGGCTGTTGATATCCTGGCTTCTCCCTCTCCCCGGGTCCTGGGCAACCGGGCCGTGTTCCTGCTCCCGACTCCTCTCCTTCCCGCCCCAGTGGTTTCTCCTCAGCACCCACCTGTCACTCCGCGCCAACCCCCTCCTGGGCCTGGGCCTACTCCTTAGGGAACCTTTCCTGGTCTCGGGGCCTCGGGCTTTCTTCCCGCCCCAGGATTGCTCTTCTCAGGGCTACATTCCCTCGCCCTGGGATCCATCTTTACATGTGATCGCTCCTCACGGACAGCTGTCAAAGGTTGTCAAAGGTAACATGGCTGCATAAGGACTCAGCATGCAGAAACCATGTGGAACTGGGGCCTTGCGGAGCTGGGCCAATGGCAGCCCCATGACTCCAGTTTCAACTGCCAAGATTCGTTCCAAACTGCTCCCATACTCTATATAAGCAAGTGCCCCTTTGCCTGTTCTCTCTTCCTTTCCATTTCTGCTCCTATCCTTCCCTTTGCTCCCTCTCCCAATGAACTCCATGTGGGTTTGTTGAGTTTGGTGGATGGTGTTTCATTCCCGAAGCTGCAGCAAAAAACACACTGGTGTCTGTAGTAATGGCAAGTCTGCTTTCCAAAGATTGGTGAAATTGCCAGCATTCACGATATAGTTGAAACCTGGATTTCAGGGAGTCAGTACATACTTGGAATAATTGGTGGCGGTTCTACAACACTGGTGATGTATACATGTGTGGAAATGTCACAGTGAAACCCATTAATTTTGCAAATGATAGGTGTTAATTATACTAAGAATAAACAGCTGGTTCCTAGAGTGTGTCACAGAGGTTACAAAGCCACTTAGCAACCCGGTTTTGCCTGAAAATTACCCTCTAGTGTCCTGAGGGTAATTAACATTCATGTGTCCCCTCCCCTTTTTCTGTCATAAAAAAAAATATGTGTATGTTTGTTTTACCTGCCACATTCAAGCACTGGCTTTGGAGGCCAGAAGGAAGTGCCAGGATCCCCTGGAACTGGAGTTAGGGAAGGTTGTGGATTAAAGGCTCAACCAACACCACCTGGCCCAATCTGTCATTCTTAAGACTGAGAAGTTCACATATGCCCAAGATCTTCTGTAGAATAGAGACCAGACAAGAAATGTATCTTTAAGTGTGTATTACCTGGAAAAAATGTAATGGCATGGAATAAAAGGTAACTATAAAAACCAAAGACTGATGTCCAGGCTTTATTGCTTCTGGTAGCCTGAAGCCGAACCAGTCTTCTGGACAATGCTATACAACATTTCTTAGACCACCCAGGGGGTAATGAAATGAGTAAGAGCTTAGACTCTGGAGTGAAGCTGCCGAGCAGGCTCTTGCCCTTGCCCCCCACCCCCACTCCCTTCCTGTAACTGTAGAGTTTGTGACAAGTCACCATAAACCTTGGCTTCAAAAGTGAAAATAAGCCAAGTGTAGTGGTGCAGGCCTTTAAGCTCAGTACTTGGGAGGCAGAGACAGGCAGATCTCTATGAGTTTGAGGCCAGTCTGGTCTATCTACATGTCGAGTTCCAGGACAGCCAGAGCTATATAGTGAGATCCTGTTTTGAAAAAAGAAAAGGTAAAAATAATATTTGTTTCTACCTTGCAGGGCCCTGCGTGGGACTGAGTGGGAAACACTAACATCATCCTCACAACTTACAGGTTTTGGCTTTGCTGTGCTCCAGTGGATCTTGGTAACACTTCCCAGATCATTCAACGGCAGAGTCACAGTGGTGAACAGTTCAGGACTTCCCTAAGCCCAGTATCCCAGCTGAGATGGGGGGTGGGGGAGGTGCGGTGAGGCTGCCTATTTAAGCTCATATGGTAAACAGATTTCACTTCTGGGCCCTATTCGGTGCCCCAGTTCTCACATTATTGTACTCTTTTGGCGGTGGTGGTGATTTCAATATTTGATGGACCTAGGCCTCCTAAACATAGGCTCTGCTGCACCTTGTTGGGGAGACAGAGATCTGAATTAGGCACTGGTGCTGCACTGTGCATTCAACCTTAACAAATCAACATAACACCAAGTGTGGTGATACTTTGTGTCTTCTGCAAGGTTACATAATGGTCAGCTGACAAAATGAGACCAGAGTTTCTCAAGAACCAGAGTGATTCTGCTCAAGAACAACAGCTCAGCCTGGTGGTGGTGGCGCACGCCTTTAATCCCAGCACTCAGGAGGCAGAGACAGGCGGATCTCTGTGAGTTCGAGGCCAGCCTGGTCTACAGAGCTAGTTCCAGGATAGGCTCCAAAACAATACAGAGAAAGCCTGTCTTGAAAAAACCAAAAAAAAAAAAAAAACAACATTTCCTAATTCAGTGTTTGTGGTGACTTTCTTGAACATAAAGGACCCAAATAGCAAGAATGGTGTCTGTTAACAGGACAGGACTGTCACTCACCAACTGCTGAACAAACGTGTTTATCATCATGGCACCAGTTCATCACTGGTTCATTCTACTCTGGGTCCCTGTTTCTCTTTGAGTTTTAGTAAATTGCCCAGAAAACTAGGCAAACTTCAGCTTCCATTCTGCTTCCTTATTTTTCTTCTCCCAGTGGCAGCGAAATCTTTGCTTTCTAAGCCCAATACAGGCCAAGTGCAAAATAAGGTTCTGAGTGGAGAAAGGCTGGACCTCTAGGGGAAACAAGTCCTACCTAGGCAATGAGAGAAGCTCCTGGCTGTTAAACTAGGTTTGGTGGTATAAAGGAGGGAAGGAGAGAGGGGCTATCTAGGTTTGAAAAGACTTGGGACCCTACACATCACCAAGGGAATGGAACACCATTTAGAAAGACTCCACACTTCATGCTGTAACCTGACATTCCAAAAAGGTAAAACTCATCACTGGTTTCTGAGATTGGGGTGAGGTGTATGTGGATGAGTCAAAGGAACACAGAGGACTCCTGGGGCAATGGAAGGGCTTCTGGGTACTATAATGACAGGCATTTGTTCCAGGCCACTGTAAAGCACCAAATGTGACTCCTATAATAGACAATGGACTAGAACAGAAACATGCAAATTGGCTCATGTAGAGTAGAACACCAACCATCAGAATTAGGGTGAGGTTATTGGGGGGAGGCAGACAGGAGGGGAAGTATGTGGGGCCCTTCTGTTTTCTGCCTGTGTATGCTTCACACTACTCAAGAAGACGGAGCTGTTGATATGAAATAGTGATTCCATATGGATGTGTCCATCTCCACTTGGAGCCACCACTACAACAAAGCTAGCAGCTGAGTCCAGGGCCCCTGGGATGGGAGACTCGGGGATATTACAGGAGAGAGCAGCTATGGAAGAGGACTGAAATGGGAGGAGCTGGCACACTGGAGTAGAAGGACAAAGTGCAGCTTTTGTTAGCGCCAAGAACAAAGGTGACAGAGGAGCACAGGAAGAGTCAGGCTGAAGAGGGAGCCGTTTCAGGTTCCAAGTTATGCCCTCTATAAGAGCCACAGGGAACCACTGAGCTCTGAGCTTGGTGGGTTAGCATTCTGGGAAGCCCACTTCAGCTCAGGCCCAGAGATTGTTGTACTGTGGCCCATCAGAGGTGCTGGTGGGAGACTAAAGGAGGGCCACAGAAGCTCCGAAGGGAGCAGCCTGCAGAAGGCAGAAAGAAGCAGACTCTGCACGTGGGATTAGTCGCTTGGGCCCTGTGGTGTGGTGGTGAGGGTCCAGAGGGAAGGGTAAGGCTTGTGTAGGAATGAGCCATGGGTTTGTCACTGCATGCAGCATCCACGCACAGATGGTGTGACAGAAACTTGAAAGTTGATCTGGCAAGGGGTCTGGAAGTGAAGGAATTCCCAAGGGGCTGTGGGTGCAGGGAAGGAGCCTCTGGTGTTCTGACATAAAAATGAGAGCAAGGGTGAGAGAGGGTCAAGAGGGACCTGGCCAGCCAGGTATTGGTGGCACACGCCTTTAATCCCAGCACTCGGGAAGCAGAGGCAGGTGGATCTCTGTGAGTTTGAGGCCAGCCTGGTCTCCAGAGCCAGTGCCAGTATAGGCTCCAAAGCTACACAGAGAAACCCTGTATCGGAAAAAAAAAAAAAAAAAAAAAAAGAGGGACCTGGCCAGTGACCTTGGCCTAGTGAGGCAAAGGTCTTGTTTCTTTCAGTAGGTCAGGTTGCCAAAGGCCAGCGAGACCTGAAAAGGCATAGTTTTGACATGGCTCAGGACAGCAGTTGTTAGTTCTACTTCAAAGTGCCTGTGGATCATCGCTCCACTGCCGAAAGCTCTGGCAGTTTGCCATGTGTGACACTGAGTGCCTGAACCGAACTTCCCCTCATGTTTTCTGAGCACATGAGCTGTTGACAAACAAGTGAGATCGGTTCTTACAGAAAATACCAGCTCTGGTACTTAGTTGATGCACAGCAACGCAAATAGAGCACCACAGTGGCTTGTACCTGTGGCCTTTACAGCCCCCAGAAAATCAGTTTTCACACCTGGAAACCCACCGTAAGAGAAGATGCCTTCCCCAAACCCTGTCTTTGAAAAGCCAGCAGCAAGCACTTAGTACCTTCTTGACAATACTGCTTCCTCCTTTTCCTTTTCCGTCCTGATGGCAGCTAGGGGTGGCCGCTGTGGCAATCACAGCCATGCTGCACCTTGTGGCTGAAGCCCCTCTATGAATGTCCAGTTGAAGCCTGCATGAAACTTTCTAGTCCTTGAAAACAAATTAATCTTCATTGATTGGCACTTCAAACTATTAAGCCAACTACCAAGTTTTGGATGTGCCTTGCTTAAGAGCAAAAGTAAATTTATTCTGTAATTTCCTGGATTCTGTGGTTATATTCACATTATAGTCAGGTCATGGCAGTGTGACCACTATTACACAGATGAGATAAAATGTCCTTGAGTAGCCTCTCCACAACTACAGATCCCCAGGGAAATGTCAACAGCCAGTGTGTCAGAGGAACCAAATCTGACCTAATGAAAAGTAACAGAATCTTAGGCTGATGTATCTCAGCTGATAGAGTGCTTGCCTATCGTGCCCTAGGCCCCAGACTTAATCTCTAGCACTGCATAAACCCAAGCACAGGAACACATGGTTATGATCCCAGCACTCAACACACGGTGGCAGGAGGATTGGAAGTTTAAGGTCATCCTTTGGCCTCAAATGTAAGTTCAAGGCCAACCTGCGATCCAGGATCACACACAACAATAAAAAGAATAACAGGGGCTAGAGAGATGCCTCGGGCATTAAAAGCACTGACTGCTCTTCCCAAGGACCTGGGTTCAATTCCCAGCACCTACATGGCAGTTCACAACTGTGTGTAACTCCAGTTCTAGGGGATCTGGCATCCTCACACAGACATACATGTAGGCAAGCCTCGTGTGTGTGTGTGTGTGTGTGTGTGTGTGTGTGTGTGTGTGTGTGTGTGTTTATGGGGGTCTTGTCTTTCAGAGATCAATTGATTAACTTGTATGTGTGCCTAGCTACACGCAGCCAGCCACAGGTCCTGTTAACCCACTGGGTCATAATCTCAACAAAGGACTCAGATCCCAGCTGAAGTCCCAGAGTGTTCACACAGAGAGAGAGAAGGTGGGGTAATAATTCCTCTTTTCATTCGAGGTAGTCTCAGAGGGTACATGGACAAGAATGAGGACATGGCTGCCAAGTTTCAGAGACTTGCCTGTGCCTTTCTGATCCCCCCCACCCCCCGCTCCCCAAGCCTCTTCCACGGAGAAAACCCTTCCTTTCAGGGCTCTTGCTGACCTCTCATCTACCACCCAGACAGAAGAAGCTGTGACATGCCTACACCCATATATACATACTCCAACAGCCACATATACACAGTGGCATGTGTGTGCCCACACACAAACACGCATGCATACATACTTGTTTTTTCAAGTTTAAAGGAAATCATCTGGGGCTGGAGAGATGGCTCAGAGGTTAAGAGCACCGACTGCTCTTCCAGAGGTCCTGAGTTCAATTCCCAGCAACCACATGGTGGCTCACAACCATCCGTTATGAGATCTGGTGCCCTCTTCTGGTGTGCAGATATACATGGAAGCAGAATATTGTATGCATAATAAATAAATAAAATCTTTTTTTAAAAAGGAAATCATCTGAACTAGTGGCACACGGATGTCACATTTCTCTTAATATGGGGTGATCTGTAGTAACTAAAAGCCAGGATGAACCTTCGCAGACTGCCTGCCTGCCCAGTGATCCCTCTACAGCTTGTGAACACAACTGGTCTGTTTCCTAAGCTGTCCAGCTTTCTCTGAGGATAGTGCAGAGTGGACACAAGTCACCTTCCCAAGGCCTGTCTGGTATTTACACTGTATACAATGTAATTTGTCGCCCTTTTTGTATTATTTCCTAGAATGTAAGTTTGGATATAATTTTTGTTTGAGCAGTGAGCTAAATCTGTGAAACCTTGCCAGGCACTTTTTCCTAGAGAAGGAACATACTCTTGCAGGACCAGCCCCTCCATTTCAGATGGCATCTTTCCCATTGTGTTTTTCTCTTAATATCTTCCTACACAGTCATGCGATGTAGACGTTCCACAAATATTTTTTGTGTGTGAATGAACAAACAAAGGATTCTAATCCCAAAAGTTTCCTGAAATTGTCTTGCCTCTTGCATCCGTTTGAACGAGCTAAGGCCCAAGAATTGCACTAATGACATTTTTCAACCCATACAGCGGTCTCAGAGCCTAGCAGAAGACCCTCAGCTTAACCAGCCCTTTGTAAACACAGCCTTTTCTTCATGGACTTGGGTGGGAGGTGGCTGAGACAAGACACAAAGCGCCCTCCTACAGGTGTCACTACAAATACTAATGGAGTCATAGGGCAAGGAGCAGTCCTCCCATAAGCATTAAGAACACTTTAGGCCACTGGGTAGTCACTTCCTGAAGAACTGACTGAAAGTAAAAATAGAAGTCTGCTTGTCCATCTTTGCTCGTCTTACTGAACCTACTTTAAGAGTTGAGATTGACAAAGGTGAGGCTTTTATCCCTGGCTGTCGCGTACACAGAAAGGACATTGTAGGGGATACTGTGTTCTTGACAATTTTATGTTCTTTAACCACAACTACCACGGTAAACAATGACCTGCTGCTGGCCACCTCAGAGTTCAAATCTTGTGATACCACAAGGTGGCACAATTTTGCCACAATAGCTGCATGCTTTGTTGATTGATAGAGGTGTCTTATGGCAAACTTAAAATATTTAACTGATTGAGGTGTTTAATGGTAGAACCCTGTCTAGCATGAGCAAAGCCCCGGGTTCAATCCTGAGAACTGTGAAAAGTCTTGGAAAAATTTAGGGCTGAGGATGCTGGAGGAGTATCTGCCTGACGGGTGAAGCTGTGTGCTCAGAGTCCAAGTACTACAAAAAGAAAAGTCTCATATACACATACATATGAGGACATAGACACACACACACACACACACACACACACACACACACACACACACACACACTAAAAGCCATATACTCTATTCCTGCCTACTTTCCTCCATCCTCTTCTCTCCCCTCCTCCTCCTCTCTCCATCTCCATTTCTGTTCCTGTAGGTCTGCTTATGGCCTGA